GAGGAAGCCATTTGCAGAGCATGAAGGAAGAGCCAGAGAGGACTCCGGGAGAGAACACTGTCCCTGAAGTCAGGGCAGGAGAGACACCAAGGAGTAGAGAGCGAAGGGCTGAAAAGTGTCCCAGGTATTTAACAACAGGAAGGAGTGTAGCCATGTTCACTTCTCACCTGCTTATGCGATCAGCCTGAGTGACACAGAGCTCCAGGACGAGAGTTCAAATATGAACCCTAACCCATCTTACACGCGGGAGTCTGGAGATGCAGATGGTCACATGGGTCAGTGCTGTGCTCCCTTCCAACTGGCTACGTGCCCCTCACAAATTCTCCTGCAGGGCAGGCAGCAGGGAGTGAGGTCATCGGCTAAAACTGTGGTGTCAGAGCCGATTTCAAATTGCATGCTTTATCAGCAAGTGTTTCAATTCTTTCTCACTCTCAGCAAGCAAGGTCGTGTTATTTGCATCCCTCAGGCTGTTAATTAGCCTTCCTCCAATCCTGATGCCGCACTCTTACTCATGTAATCCAGGTTCTCGGATGACCTGCTCCACATACAGATTGAACAAGCATGGGGAGAGGCTACAACCCGGATGCACACCTTTCCTGATTTTAAACCATGTAGTCTTCTCTTCTGTTTGCATAACGGCCTCTTGATCCATGTACAGGTTTCGAGTGAGCACAATGATTTGTTCGGGAATTCCCATTCTTCTCAAGGTTATTCACAGTTTATTATGGTCCACACTGTCCAATGCCTTGGCACAGTCAATGAAACAAGTCAAAACATCCTTCTGGTGTCCTCTGCTTTGAGCCAAGGTCCACCTGACATCAGCAATGATATCCCTTGCTCCATGTCCTCTTCCAAATCCGACCTGAACTTCTGGAAGTTCCCTGTCAATGTACCGCTGGGCTCGTTGTTGGATGATTTAAGCAAATTTTACTTGCATGTCATATCAATGATACTGTTCTATAGTTTGAGCATTCTGTTGGGTCACCTTTCTTTGGAATGGGCACAGCTATGGATCTCTTCCAGTCACTTGGCCAGGTCCTGTCATAGATGAGTGAGTGCCTCCATTGCTTCTCCAACTTTCTGAAACCTTTCAACAAGTATCAAATTCCTAGAGCTTGGTTTTTGGCTAATGCATTCAGGGCAGTTTGAACTTCTTCCTTCAGGACCATGGGTTCTTGCTCATATGCTACCTCCTGAAATGCTGGACTGTCGACTAGTTCTTTCTGGTACGATGACTCAGTTTTCTTTCCACCTTCTCTTGATGCTTCCATGCATCATTCAATATTGTGCCTATAGAATCTTTCAAAATTGAAACTCGAGGCTTGGATTTTTTTCTCGAGTCCGTTTAGTTTCAGGTGTGCTGAGCACGTTCTTCCCTTTGTTATACAAGTTTTGGGTTTCACCTATGTGAGTTTCAAGTTAAAACAACGTAAAATTCGTGAGTCCCTGAGATTGCCTTTGCTCACATGTTTCCTGCCTAAGGCAGTATACAGTCTTACCACTTTTCTTTCGCTTGTTTTAATGGAAAACATTTTCGTTTTTTTCCTCTGGCAGGTTTCCACCTTGCACAGGTTCTGGTTTTTGCAGGTTTTACAGCATTTCATTTTATACCCTTCATAAAAAAATACTTGCAATGACTTGAGACAGGAACTGTATCTACACTGCCTGCAGAGAATTATGTATTTGCACTATAAACTCAGTGGTGCTGAATCAATTTCCACTTGCAGCTATTCTACAGGACAGAGTAGATATGCCTCATAAGGGTTTCAAGACTGCAATCCTTATGAAAGTAGACTGCGCATCTTCCTCCCACGGAGCAGTTGGAGGGTTTGAACCACTGACCTTCTGGTCATGCTAGGTTCATAATAAATGTCCTCTGACATGTATCCTCATAGGGACCCTATAAGGCAGAGTAGAACTGCTCACTTTGGGTTTCTGAGGCAATAAATCCTATGGGAGTAGAAAGCCTCATCTTCCCCCACAGTATCTAGTAGTTTCTAACAATGACCTTGCTATTCACAGCCCAATTCGTAATCCACGAGGCCAGCTGACTCAAGGGGAGCGCGTTTGGTTTGGGTTGGGAGATACATCCGCCTTTCTTCACTAAGACAAGAGGCTGTGGGGAGAGTTATTCTGGAGAAGTCTACCTAAGACCACTGACTCTATGCTGTTAGGTAGAAAACTTGATACGTGTACAGTGAACCCTCGCCACTTCGCGCTTCGACTTCCGCGGCTTCACTCTATCGCGGTTTTTGCGTAACAGCGCATGCTCTGTCATTACTGCCACTGATTGGCTCATACTGTACACGCTTCTGTCTGCATCGCTACGTATCGGAGCTACGAATCAGATGCATTTTTGCTTTTGTACAGTGTAATGTAATTGTTTGCAATTTTAAAGAAATTTTATCTAAGTCCTATGATGGCTCCTAAATGAGCTGCTGCTTCTAAGCCTTCTGACAATAAAAATAAGCGCGAGAGGAAGATGCTCACCATCCAGGAAAAGGTAAAACTTTTGGATATGATCAAAGATGGCAAGAAAATCGTGGAGGTTGCACGCCATTTCGACTTGGATGAGTCTGCCGTTCGCTCCATCCGTAAAGAGGAAAAACATCCGTGCTACGGCTACTTTCACTTTCAACAAGGAAGCAAAGCGCAGCGTGACAAGTCGTAATAAGGAATCCTACTTTGCGGAATTTCATTTATCATGGTAGGGTCTAGAACCGATTAACCGCGATAAATGAGGGTTCAATGTACTGTACATTCCAACCTTTATCCCCCCAACCCCGTGAGTTTTCTTTTCCCAAGGCAAACAGAGCTTGGAATTACGAACTGTGCACTGAACTCCTCTCACATCCTGGGGCAGGCAGAAAACCCCGGGTACGAGAGTACTTGTGAAACATGAGGTCTGTTACCTTCAGGTCTCGGTGGATAATAGGGGTTTTGCACTGATGCAGCCTGGCCACAGCTTCGCAGGTGTCACAGAATACCTGCAGCACTTCGTTCTCCGTAAAGCCTGTCTGCAGGCGCTGATTCATCAGGTTTACCACTTGGCCTCCTGAGAGGGCACAAAGGAGAGGTGATTAGAGACACTCACACTTGTCACCAAACCGGATGAGGCGCCTCCTGGAGGAAAGCAACCGAGACGATTACAGGTAGAGCCGGGACTAGAGCGCAGCTGCCTTGGCTCCCAGCACGCCTTCCTCCCTGAGCTGCCCTCGTGTTTCTGAAAGTGTCCATATTCTATAGAGCACCTCAGACGTGAGCTGCTCTCCTCACGCCTTCAAGATTAGTCATGGAATTGATGAGAGGATCCTGTTACAGTAGCCTGCGTGTACTGTCCCAATTAGGCTAAGTGAGATGAGATCACAGATTCAACTTGTCTCATCTCTTAGAAAGATCTAGATCACACAGTAAGTACAAGGGACAGGGAGAGGACAGCTTTGAGTCTGCACTCTAGGAACATACTGGCATCATGTTCGCTGTTTGGTTGGTAGAAAAGCTTCTGGTGGAAAAACTTGGGTCAAAAGCTTGCTGACTTTGTTTATAAACGATAGCGATTCCTTGATACGCCATGAGTCGGAACTAAGTTGAAGACAAGAAACCTTTTTTAAGGTGCTCCTACTGCTTGGTCTCTAAAACATTTAACAAACAGCAGGGATCAAACAGTCAAACCCAATGTGGTGCCTAAGAAACGCATGTGCATGCACATGCACACTCATTAGAAAAATTCTAATTTGGGAGAATTGTACAGCATCTGGTCAGCAGTGTTACAATGGAGGCTGGAATAACTGGTCAGCATCACATTTTGGGGGTTGATAACACGGGTTCTGCACGGCACCCTAACGGCTGTGAAAAAGTTAGAGGAATATGGGGTATTGGAAAATAGATTCCAAACCGGGAGACTGTGGCCTGAGTTTGTAAGGCAGCAGCAATGTAGACCCAAAGAGTCAACCCTTCAAACAATGGTGGCATGAAAGGGTCTGAGTAGATGTACGCTACGGTCTGGGCTTTTCCCAACGTAAGTGCTGTGTAACGTTTCCTTCGAGCCTCCAACGTTCTTAGCAGAACTGAGTCACAGAGCCAATCCTTTGAATGTAGCCTGCCTCTAGCATGTAGCTACAGAGCAAGGAGAGGAAGGTCACTTCCTGTAAAAGGAAAGGGCTCTTTTACGCTGTCACTCACGAATGGCGATGCACAAAAAAGAGAACGTGCCTGCGAGGGAGCAGGAGGCTGCACTGCTTTTCAGCGTTCGTCCACCTGCAGCTGAGTCTTTATTCTAGGCAACCATCGCATGTTTTGAAGCATCACAAAGAACATGTTCATTTGCATTCATATACAAGCCACAAACTGTGCTACACCCAAGGAAAGTGGTGTTCTGTGTAATGCCTTAACTTTTACTTGCTTGTGTCACTGCCCGAACCAAGAATCGATCGCAGACTCTGGGTCTCAACAGCATGCTTTGGGGTGCAGTGCACATTAGCTGAAATGACTCCTCGGTCCTTGGCAGTCAAAATGCTAGGGGAACGAGAACTTAAGCGTAGGGTGCATTTACTTACCTCTGCAGAAGTCCATCAGAATGAGAACTTCCCATACATCACCACTACTCACATTGTTGATACTAGAGTCAATGTAACCGACAATGTTCTTGTGCCCCGACAGGTCCCTCTGGGAACGAGAGTTGAGAAAGATGAAATCAGTTAAAGACATACCAGTCCAGACAGCACGAGACAGAATCCGTCCTATTCGGACGAAAACCCAAACCCACACTCATTGCCATCGAGTGGGTTCTGACTCACAGGGACCCGATAGAGCAGAGTAGAACCGCCCCTTTGGATTTCTGAGATGGTAAATCATTGCAGGAACAGACAGCCTCATCGCTCCCCCTTGGAGCAGCTGGGGTTTGGAACTGCGGACCTTGTGGTTATCAGCTCAATGTGTAGTCCATTAGCACAGATAATTTAAATACATGGGAAGGATACCGCTAGCATTGAGAAGTTAAGACGAAGGAGCATTGTCAAGAATAGGTTTCTAGTAGTCTCTGAGGTTTACAGGCAGAAATTTAATAGCAACCATGGAGCCCTACTAAGCTACAGAACCTTCCTGTAACTCAACTCTGGAGCCCACTGCACACATGGTGCCTACTTGCTCACAGCATCGGTGATCGATCTAAACCAGAGGCAAAAACTCTCCAAAGTTTCCTAAACGTAACTAAAAAATGACCTTTTGTTCTATCCATCATTTTGAATGAATAATGTTTGTTATAATATATAAATATAAGGTTTTCTATAATACTAATTTGAACAAATAATTATTCACCACTTGGAATTTTGTAATAAGCAACTGGTCACAGACTCAACATTCTTTAACCCCTGGGTCTCTGAAATGCTGCAGAGGGACTGAAAGAAGAGAGACAGCGTTGACTACTTCAGTATCTGAGTCTCTCACTCAGAAACGAAGCTGAGGTTTCCCCCTGCAATCAGGGGCATAAATGAATTCAATTGGACTTTTAAATGACTCACACTCCTTTTCTTCTTTCAGTAAGCATAAGAAAAGAAGAACTGCTTTACAGTTTTGAAGGGACGACTGGGGCATCCAGACCTAAGCATTTTGCTCACAATTAGGCAGAAGATAGAAGCCAGCCCACTGAGACGTCAGATGGGTCACGCTTCCAGCTCCCCTGCAGGACCGCCTGTGCTCTCTCAAGGTTGCTTCTGAAAAGCATTCACACAATGACTATTTATTGAGCACCTTTCATGTGTCAGGGTCCATTGAAGCAATGAGAATTGCTTCATACATCGGTACAGTCATTCCAATGCCCACAGAGGACAATCTCTGCAGTGACAATGTTCAAAGAGAAGGTGGGGAAAGAAAATATGAGCAAGATGAGTAATGTGATTTGTACATACAAATGAGTGTGTCATTTTAACTAGTTTTGATAATACAATTTGATATTTGACTTCTAAAAAGTAGGGTCCTGGAAAATTTGTGGCTTTATAGGAACCACCCAAACTTGGCTATTTGGAGCAGGAGACACCTGTCTACCACCGTCTGGAGATTCGACTGTTTACAAGTGATTTAAATTTAAATGGAAGTATATACCAAAACAAAAGGAAGCCTCAGAATAGCAAGTGAATACACCTGAACCCTGACCATTAAGGCAAAAAACTCAGTAAGTTTTCCACTGAAAGAGGGATTTAGAATGTCCGTTGTCTCAGAAAGATAAGACAAAAGTAGAAACGTGACCCACCAAATTAGCAATTAACAAGTCACTAGAGATAAATATTGAGTTTTAATTCATTGTAATTTTAAAATTAAATCCATTTTAAAAGTTTCAATTAATTGACTTTCATTAATTACTATTAATATGCAAGGGAGCTTCAGAGAAGTGATAGTTTGCAGGCAAGAATGGAATTGGACTTGCAGAGAATTGGAGCTGAGCAAGTAGAACCAGACAACAGATTTCTCTTTCAGAAGTTTGTGCCGAGTGGAGCAGGACTGAGGGAACGGTGGGGGAGAACTGAGCACTGCAGAGTAGAAGGGACGGTAAGAAGAAAAGATACACAGAAGGCACAGAGAGAGAACATGTATAGATGACTCTGACAATCACATTTATTTGTTTAAAAAGCTAGTAGTTTGAATTCAGAGTGCTAGCTCTAGAGGAAGTGTCCTCCAGTGGCTCTGGGGGGAAGGTCTGTGTCAGCAATCTTCTCCTGGGTCTGCGAGGTTCTCGGCACAAAGACACTGGGTCCAAAGGACATGCTCCACTCCCAGCTTTTTTTCATGGTGGTAGGAGGTCCCTCTGGTCTGTTTACTTGTTTAATCTCTTTTATATCTCAAAATAGATGGATTCAAGATACATCAAATCCTGTACATTGTATTCTGCCTCATTAACATAGTGCCTCTAATCCTGCCTCATTATTATCATCAGAGAGGTTAGGATTTACAACACATAGGATAATGACATAAAATTATAAAATAGAAGATAAGTACCTATGTCCTGAGAACCCTGGTCTAGCCACATTGGCACATATCTGGGGCGGGGGTGGGGGAGGGGAGACCTCAATATTAAAAGTTGAATATTGAAAGTACCATAGACTGCTGAAAGGACAAACCAATCTGTGTTAGAAGTAAGGTCCGAGTGCTCCTCAGAGGCAAGGATGGCGAGACTTGATCGCACATACTTCTCACACGCTGTCGGGAGAGAAGGACCCTGGAGCAGGACATCCTGTTTGGTAAAGTCGAGGCACAGCGATAAAGAGGAGACGGGCAGACACCACGGCTGTCAGGACGGGCTCAGGCACAGGCACAGTGTGAACATGGTGCAGGACTGGGCAGTGTTTCGGTCTGTTGTGCATAATAAGGTCGCTATGGGTCAGAACCGACTCGATGGCACCTAACAACAACAACAATCTCATCCATGCTAGTGGGCAAGGCTAACTGACAGAACAAAATCCTGGAACTACTCTCATAGGAGTTGGCCTTCGAGAGATTTCTTTACTGGGAAGCTGCAAGGAGATACAGAGGATAGATTTGTTTCAGGCTGGAGCAGAGGGAAGTTAAGTGAGCTCAGAGCTCTGTGTTTTATCTATTTCCTTTTGAGGGCTAAGGCAGTAAAGAGCAAGGTGGTCGTCCAAGCAGTAGGTAATGAGACGGAGGCTCGATGAGAGAACTAGCAGGTTTAAAGCACCTGCTTTGAAAATAAGGGGGATGATTGATGAGGAACCAACGTAGTCTCTAGAGATTTCAAGTTTCTTCAAAACTGAAAGTGGCTTCAGGGCTCATGCTTTATAGGCCTAGCCTTTTAAGTCTCACCATCAATTCTTCTAGAACATACTTCCACTTAGGTAGCCCTGGTGGAAAGACAATGGAGAGAGGGCACTGAAACCAAAATTGGCCAGAGCACCATGCCCACAAATAAAAGCAAATCACCAATATCTTACATTTAAGTACCTGGAAAAGAATTGGCAATGGTCCCCTGTGCTCATTTCACCCACAATGAAGAACAAATTAAAGTCTTGGAGGGGACCCCCCCCCACACACACACACACACAGCCCCACACACAGAGAACAGAAGTCAAGAGCTATTAGCGGACCAAAGCTGGGTAATTCACATCTGCAGATAGCTCCCTAAAAGAGTTTGCCATGATATGAGCTCAACAGTTCAAGCCCAAGTTCCTGCTCATGTTGTCTTCAGCACACATCCTTAGATATGTCCATCCAAAAAAAGAGGAATAAAATTCCAAAGTCTTTGGAGGGAGCCCACGAATTTACCTTTAACTACTTGATAATGTAGCAACATCTCAAGATTGCAGAGAAAAATCACCCTGTGTTGACAACTCTGATGGAGATGTGTTTGACTGGCTATGAAATGTGGGAGGAGCCAAGAGGAAATCTTACTACAAACGGAGGCTGGTTCACGGTTGGGGTGTGGGGGGGGGCACTGATACCAGCATTTGCCCAGCTTTCAACAGAACACACCAGAGGAAACTCGAGCTTTTCCCAGATGGTGGGGGGAAACAGGATTGCAGGGCGACACGGGCACAGGTCTGGGCTGCAATCTGCAAGTGGAGTGTCTCAGTCTCCACTTGCTTACTGGAGAAAAGACAAGAGGTGAGGAAGATACTTTGCTGCCTATGGGTTTCATTTATACCCAAGCCAGTGTGAAGGCTCATTCAAATAAATGACAGCCCAGAGCAGTTTATAGCACGACTTCAGTAATATGTCTGAAGGGTCTGTGTCCTTATCAAAACTTTTTTTTTCCATTTTATTGGGGGCTCTTACAACTCTTGTTACAAACCATACATCAATTGTATCTGACATATTCGTACATAGATTCCATCATTCTTTTCTAGACATTTACTTTCCATTGAACCCTTTCCATCCTCCCCCCTCCCTGCAACCGTTGTAGCCTCCTGATAGATTGTTGATTATTTTCAAAACTCACTCCGACCACTGTCCCCCTTCCCCTCTGGTTTCTGTTGTTCTTCCCCCTGGAGGGGTGTGTGGATATGTGCCACTCCTTGCATTCGGTGCTCCCCTCTCTCCCCCCCTTCCCCTACCCTCTTGGGATCTCTATTCCCTTTCCTGTTTCTGGGTTCCATGTGTTGTGAGTTTTATCTCTTGCCTGTACCTATGTACCTGCTCCCTCTAGTCTAGATCAGGAGGCAGGACTGAGTTGGGATAGCTGGGGGTGGGATGGGGGAAGCCTCCAGGAAACAGAGGTATATGCGAGACCCATTAGTCTTATCAAAACTTTTGAGATTAATAATGAGCGAAAAAGAAATGTTACTAGGAAACCTGCTGTATTAAATAGATTTAAATATGTTTAGCTTATTAACATTCACATTTAATTCGGCTTAAAGTGCAGAAAACCCTTTTTCATAAACACATGTAGAAGCGACCATCTGAAATCAGGCCTTTGACCCAGATCCTCCTGATGCTCACAGATTCCAGCTTTAGCTCAAGGTTCTGCTTCATGATGTTCTCAGCCTCAAAATTCTGGCATCAGAATATTAAGAAATCTGAGGACTCAATTCTTAAGTAAATCTATAAAACCACTATATATTAAACTATAAATAGAATATACGTATGTAGTTTCTATGTTCAAGAAAACAACAACAAAAAAGGAACTTCTAAATAGCTTAGCAGTGTCACTCACTTAAAAA